GGAGCATTATTATTTAATAAATGCTCATAATTTATTTTTGAGTAGTTTTTTTTATGTATTGCTGTATGTTAATAAAAGTGCCTGTGTGACATCTGGGAAACAGTTTTGACTAAGAACTCTCTTTTTGTTCTTACTTTATGGCTTTAAAAAAATATCGAGATATATATCTTATATCGCCATCCAGCTAAAAAATATCACGATATGAATTTTGGGTCATATTGCCCAGCCCTACTCCAGGGTTTGAGATTTGAGGTTTCTTCTGTATTTTAGACCATTGTGGTTCTTTATTATGTACTGTTGAAATTTAACCTTGTGTTTATGCGCTTGCTCATAGGGAGTCGTTTGTTGGGGTTTTCACTCTATTGTGTAGTTTCTTTCCTTACAATAAAAGTGCCTTGATGGGATTATTGTTATATACCAAACATAAATAAAACTGTATTGAATTTCTTATATTTGTGCCTTTAATTCCTTGCTTAGTTGACAACAGGTTTGTTCAGCCTCGTTTGGATTCTGCTCCTCCAACCTCGTCTCTTACCTTCTGTTTCTGAGCTACTTCAGCGTTAACCCTGAGCTTTCTGTACGAAAGTTTTCCAATAGTGTCTACTGTCTTTGTTTCCCAAATGAGCATCAGTAATAAATAAATAATATAGATTTTTAGACCCAACTTTATTGTGGCTGTGGTGTTCGTGGTCAGAGTTACATTACATAAAGCAGGGGTGGGCAACTCCAGGCCTTGAGTGCCGGCGTCCTGCAGGATTTAGACATTATCCTGGGTCAACACACCTGAATCACATGATTAGTTATTTAAGAAACACAAGTATTTGTACTTCTTCTTAAGTGCACAATGGCTTTAATTTTACCCCCTCTGTTAATCAGTGAAGCCATGAGACATGAGCCTGAGACATGTCTCAGGTTTTAGAGATCTTAAACATTAGATTTTAGTTTTGGGAGGATGAGACATTTTTAGTGTAGTAAGCAGAGTCTGGAAAAATGAAGCGATTATGAACAGATCCAGACAGCATGAGCTGGGAAATGAACTCTGGGCCTGATCCAATCTGAATCTGTCTAATTAGTTTTTCTAAAAACACAACAATAAAAAGAAAACTCTTTTGAAAAGAGGCTCCAAATTTAATCCTATTACTAAAAAATCTTATAATATTATTATTATTATTATTATTGTTATTATTAGCTATGTATGTGGCTACATTAAGGGCTACATATACAGCAGGGCATATTAGCCATACAGCCACATCATGTGGAAATAATCACAGACACCTGAGAACATACGGTTACTCTGTAACCTCGGTTCTCTGAATAACAGAGTCTTCACTGCAGATCAAATGATCACCGGTTTCAGGTCGCACAGCTGTTTTATAGGTAAGCTGTGGGTGTGGCCAGGCCAGCCAGAGTGTCTTAAAGAAGTATCCACATGCCAGGACCCAGGGGGGTCCTACCCCATAGATACGGAATATGTAACAGGGTGGAGGGATCTCGATATACCAGAGAATATGTTTAACCCTCTCAGGCTCAAATGAAACTTTTTGTTGCTAATGCGCAACCAAGTCCTGCAGTGGTACTTCTGAGTAAAACAAACTGATACAATATGTATGTGGGATAATCAGGTTGTTAGTTCTTAACTGTTGCAAATCGGCAACGCCTGCCTCGAGAGGGTTAATAAGAACATGGGGGCGTCTGCGGAAAACAAGTTCCATTTTGTTTGAAGTCTTGAATTTGTCCTGATGCAGCGAATGTGGAAAGTCTTGTGATTTCTAGGATGTTATAATTTCAAAAAGCTGCAGCTATAAAACTTGAAAATGATCATGGATTCACTTGAAGACAGCTTGAACATGAATATAGGGTCAATAATTTATGACGGTTGATAACGGCTTGGTTGTTATTTTCTTAGATATGGGTAAATGTTCCTATATATCAGTGTATATTGTCATGATGTGCTGTGCAACAAAACTTTATTAACAGAGAGGTAAAGGGCAATACGAAACTACACTGGGACAAACTAAAAGTAACTCACAAGGAGGCACGGGTAAACCACGGGGAAATGCACACAACACTGGGGGACGACGCGACACAGAACAGAGGTAGATTCTGACATAAATACACAGAAGGTAATGAGG